GATTGTCCCATTTCCAGCCCTTCATCTACCCGTTGGTTTTAAGCAAGCGGCTCAAATCAACCAATCCGCCACTCTAGTTCCATGCTTCAAAGCCCTGGTATATATCACAGAACAAACAATGTTTTCGGATCTCACAGAAGGCGGAAAGAAGGAAACTCCATGCTGCTGAACAAACAAATGGCGGTCATCTGCAGTTATTTCTGGTTGGGATTGTCCCATTTCCAGCCCTTCATCTACCCGTTGGTTTTAAGCAAGCGGCTCAAATCAACCAATCCGCCACTCTAGTTCCATGCTTCAAAGCCCTGGTATATATCACAGAACAAACAATGTTTCGGATCTCACAGAAGGCGGAAAGAAGGAACCTCCATGCTGCTGAACAAACAAATGGCGGTCATCAGCAGTTATTTCTGGTTGGGATTGTCCCATTTCCAGCCCTTCATCTACCCGTTGGTTTTAAGCAAGCGGCTCAAATCAACCAATCCGCCACTCTAGTTCCATGCTCCAAAGCCCTGGTATATATCACAGAACAAACCATGTTTCGGATCTCACAGAAGGCGGAAAGAAGGAAACTCCATGCTGCTGAACAAACTGATGGCGGAAAAGTCTGCAGCTATTTCTGGTTGGGATTGTCCCATTTCCAGCCCTTCATCTACCCGTTGGTTTTAAGCAAGCGGCTCAAATCAACCAATCCGCCACTCTAGTTCCATGCTCCAAAGCCCTTGTATTTATCACAGAACAAACAATGTTTCGGATCTCACAGAAGGCGGAAAGAAGGAAACTCCATGCTGCTGAACAAACAAATGGCGGAAAAATATGCAGCTATTTCTGGTTGGGATCGTCCATTCGAACCAAAAGTTTCTGGCGCGGACCGGTGCTCACCACCGCGGCCGGGCCCCCCGCGTGGCGGTGCTCACCGGGCCCTTGGTGCCGTTGAGGCACCAGCTGCGGTTGGGGCCGCCTGAGGCGCCGCGTGGGGCGAAGCGCCGTATGGAAAACCGAAGGGCCTGCTAAGGTGCAGCTCAAACCAAAAGGAGTCCAAGAAAAAAAAGAGGAAAAAAAAACACGTTGGTTGCCAACCTTAACCAAAAGGAGTCCCGGGGGGGAAAAAAAAAGAAAAAAGAAAAAAACATGGGTTGAACAACCTTGGGGTCAGCTTCCCTTCAGAAATGTGCTTTTAATGTTGTCCTGCTTGTGGGCGGTTTAGCTTTCAGGCACGGGACTACGTTCTTAGCGCAATAACCGCTTCTGCACCTCAGGCAAAATCGGTCGTCCGTCTTTGGTGTGCCAATCAGAGACGCATTCTTCAAATAGGTGGCTGGCACCCCTTACAGTAAGCACCATGGTGGGGGGGAGTTTGATCTCTCACAATTCAGCCCAAAAGTCCACGGGTAAGATCTCGCCCATTGCATCTCTCCGCGACATCTCTGTCTCTCTCTGCGCATGCATCCATGCAATCTTTCTGGGCAATTGCCCTTGCACAGTCTGACTACAAGTTTATTTTGCACAATATGTCTGCGCCGTGTCTGGGTGATATGTCTCTGCGCAGTCTCTCTGACAATCTGGCGACAAGCGTCTATGAGCCACGGGCAAAACTAAACTGGGCCCCTCAGATCCCCCGCTAAAAGTGTAACTTTTAGTGGGTTAAATGGAAACTACCACTAAACACCAAAAAGCTAAAAGGCTAAAGGGGATGACTGGGAGCCACCAAGTAACTATTCGTCTCCCCAAAAGGACGCGGGACACTTAGCGAGTTGCCTTGGTTTTGTTGGGCAGTTAGCGAACTCCCACATGTAACCTGCCATAGACTACCACTAGTCTCAACCAAGCCTGACGTGTCTCCATGGCATTTCTATGCAATCTCTTGGCGCTATGCCTCATTCGCCATCTCCGAGCGATTTCCCAGAAAACTCTATGATATCGGAAAAGCACGTTCACAAACAAAAGCATGTCAGCAAACGAAAAGAAAAAAACAAACAAGGTGAACATTAAGAACGAGACTAGGTTCCCAACTAAGACGCATTGAGACCCCAAAATCAAGACACAAAGAAGCAGAAACCAAACCCCAACCAACCTAGCAGGAACGAACAAAGAGCACACTAAAGACCACTAAAACCAGCCAGCAGAAGCCAAAACCCAACAAACCAAACACCAAACACCAGCAAGAAAACGAAAGAAAACCAAACAAAAACAAAAAAAACAACTCGACCCAAGAAAACGAAAGAACCCCCCCGAACAAAAAAACGACCCAAGAACACGAAGAAGAAAACGAAGAAGAAGAAAAGCGGCCCAAAAAAACGCCAACAAAAAGTTCCGAAGACCTCAGGCAGAGCGCAGTTCCTTCCGAGGGGCCAAAGGCCAGTGCCTGGCCCCGGATCCGCGCAGGCAGGCCCTGCAAGTCTGGGGCCTCCAGGCGGCCTGGTGGAAATGGGTGGGGGTGGGGGGTTGGGGGGGGGGGGGTGGCGGTTGGGGGGGCCACCCCCAGTTTCTCGTACCCCTTGTTTCTGGTTGCTTTTGTTTGTGCTCGATATTTTGTCTTGGTGGTTTAACAGGAAACCAGAAAGGACTGCCAACCAGTTTGAGGGCATGGTGGCAATAGGTACTTCTGTTTTTCAGGGTCAGTCTTGTTTCTGGCGTTTTTTAAAGGAAACCAGAGGAAAAAGAAGCCATTTTGAGGGCATCTGGGCTCTCGGCGTGCCTGAAAAAACCCCAAGGACTCTCTGGCCTCCAGGATTTTAGCGGTGAACAGGCTTCTAACTTGGACAAGACAGTGGCTGCTTGTCCCTCAGCCTAACTTGTGCGAACATCCTGCAAACTTGTAGGAAAGTCTTGGACAATGGTAGGATCTCGGAAACCAGGCCGCGAATCCCGGAATCTTGCTCATGTCATCCGCTTTCTTATATTTACTCCCCAAATCGGAAAGCTAAAAATGTGCCGAGAGAATTCGACGGGTGTTTCCCTGTCAGCCAGGCGAAAGGGCAACGCCCAACCAAAAGCAAGGCTGACCAAATCGAAACCCATATTTGCGAAAGGATGCCATTTCTAGCTCGAATGGCTGCTGGTAAGAGAGACTGTATCCGAATGATGTCTGCTCACGCAAGCATGCTCATACTGGCTTGCACAGACTCGCATGAGATGCCTTCATCCGGCCAGGCAGTGGCATGTGTCTCCTGCATGCCAAGGTGCGAGACATACGTATGCTGGCGAAGTCAGCACATGATCGCAGTCGCAATTGGTCAACACAAGCATAACATCACATAGTCGATCACACTATCCGCGTACCCATCCCAAACTGGGTTATTCCAAATGGCGGGGAACCCAAATCCCAACCCTAAACAAAAAAAAAACACGACCACTGGGCATAAGGATCTTGGGATCTTGCGGATTCAGTAAAGCATATGCAGGAATGTCAGGCCCTGTTCTACCAAGATCAATCAAACGATTTACCGTTAATCGAGAACAAGAAATCAGGAGTGACGGAATTGAAACTAGAACTGGAAGAGATTCATCGCCATTTCCTATCCTACACCTCAAACAGTTGATGCCCGAATGAAAGTGGATCTGCCAGCAAGCGTTGCAGCAGAAATCACATTGCTAGACGCGGCGTACGATGAGAAGAACGGGAATTGCAGAAAAAGCTCTCAGGTCCGGCTGGGAGAGTGGCAATGGGCCTCGAGGTAATGCTGAAGCCATAGGTGTCCTTTGGTAGATGATGAAACCACCAGGTAAACCCGGGCCATCTATTTTCCCCCAAAACAACCAAGAAGGACACCTATGGTTGAAGCCCTGATCAACCAATACCCAAACCATTTTGCAGGGTCCCCTTAAACCAAAGTGGGGGTTGATCAAAATGTCCTGCCTTTTGATCAACCCCAAATTAAGGGAATGTCTTTCTTCCAGACGCCCCCCGCCAGAGGGTGCAACTTGGTCGTGGGACCCGCGCGCGCAACCCGTCCCGCGCCTCGTAGCTGCCGCACGCTGTTCGAGCCAAAGCCAAAGACCCCACGGCCTTTTGGCCACTCCATAGCATCAAATCCAAACGGATTTGTCAAATCTCTGGTCTCTGAGATATGCGGCTGTGAATTTTCACTGGGCACTTTTGGACATCATTGACATTGGGATTGTCCACCCAATTTGGGCGTTACTAAAAGTGAGAAGGTACCGCACGAAGCGAGCTGATATTCATTTACACTCCTGCTGAGATGGCAAACGTTGTGCGTTCAGCTTCGCACAGATGCGCAGGTCTTGCACCCAGTATCTTGGCGCGGCAAGTTGTTCTCTGCTCATTTGGGCCCCAGGGCTTCGAACAAGCTGTGATTCCTTACAGGACCATATAAGTTTGGCAGTGCCTCGTGAAGGGCTGTCACATTAGTCTCTTGCTAGGGCTTATTGTGTGGGTTCGGGGCTTTAGAGGGTTAGGGCTGAGCGCTCAGACTTTTCTGGCAGTAGATTGTGGGAAAAAGCTAAACCGCTGCTGCACATTGACACCGAGCTTGACAAGCATCGCGGCCGTCCCCTAGTGCTATCATGTTGGCAAATTGTACATGCAAGTAAACAATGTATATTTCCATATATATATATATATATATATATAATATATATATATATATATATTTGGGGAAACGTATGCGTATATGTACATGTACGAATACGTAGATAGATAAATACATATATATATATATATATAAACAGTAGGCATGAATGTGTACCCCTATAAAAGCCTCAACCCTCGCCTCATTCACAATCGGCATAAAGGGCTTTCGAACAGAATGAGAGCCAAAAACAGCGGCAACCCTTCTAGATGCTATGGCTGTTTGCATCTGTCGCAACTAAAGGGAGGGGCCGGGTCGAGAGCTACAAAATAGATTCGAACACAGAAATCATCCGAAAGCATGGTGTAGTCCCAGGGTGCAACTCAACTTGTCTCAGAAGGGGGGTTCCTGGTTTTGATACAGGCCAAGATCAGTGGCAAGCCGAGGGCTTCTAACTTCAGCCGGGCAAGCGCTGCGCTCTCGCCCACAAAGACGCGAACCATAACCTGAGGGGGCAACATCGTGCTGAGGAGTGCACAAAAACAAGAACTTGTTCCCAACGCAAATTCTCATGGCTCTGGCTACATTTCACATAGTCTATCATGTTTCTTGAGGTCGATGAGAAGCAAAGCAATGCAAGTTGTAGTAAAGAGGGGCTTGCGGCAAGCTTCCACAGAGCTTCTTTGCTGTGAGCAAAAACACATAACAAGAGAACACAACCAGTGAACGTAAACGTGTCAATGGGTGTCTGTGCGTCCACGCCATTCCACTCTATCTGCTCTCTAAAGTAAGATGTCTTTGTCCGAGTCCTTGACGCTGCGAACGCGGCAAGAGAAGAGGACAAGGAACGGCAAATCACTCTCACTCAACCGCACACCATCAAGTCAAATGCCGAAATGAAGACGCTGCCCCAAGAGCGGGCCTTGTGCAATGTATGAACCCAGATTGCACAGGGAGGGAGTGTGGTCGGGAGCCAGAGATGAAAAGCGGCAGGGAAACAATATGGCCGTTGGTCAAAACCAATGGTACCATTTTGGGGTAGGCGCACCACCATTTTAGTTTATTTTAGTGGGGATTGGGATGTTCACTGCATACAGGAATTTGACCCATGGCCATATGTTCTCTTAGTAGCTCACCGCAAGATAGCAACACACTCTCTTGTCCTACGCATCCTAGCTGACAAGGAAGCAACACATGTGAATCCAATGATCCTCGCTGCCTTCTTGCCCGAGTGAAGAAGTCTATTCGAAAGTACCATGTCGAGCACTCTCTCACTCGCTTGCTCGCTCACACACTCCCGCCCACCCTCCCTCATTCACTCACTTCCCCTCCCATCCACATTCACTCATTACTTCGCCCATCACAGTATCCCGCCGTCCCTCAAAAACGAACTCCAGGTGAGTCACGAATCGCAATCAAACCTGGTGCTAAAATGTTGCACCCACGAAAAGAAATCAACAGGCGGCCGCACCAGTTTGTGGTTGGGATTGTCCCTTACTTTCATCTAGGTCCTCCAGTAGAGAGGATTGAATCTGGGTACCAACTTTTTCCTGTAGTCTATTTTAGTAGGGGGTTCGCGTCCCCAAAAAGCTGGTGAGAAAGGGCACCTAGCTGGGGAGACCTAGTTCATGTACCCGAGTTTAATCATCGTCCTCAGGCAGCCGCCCAAAGGATGCCTTCCATTTGGTCAAGACCCCTGGAAACGACTAAAAATACATCCAGTAGTGATAAACTCCTTTTAACACCCACAAGGGAAAGCAAAAAAAAAATGAAATCAGCAAATGGAGGAATGCCCCAAATCCGCCTGAACTGTACGTCTGTCCCGCCGACCTGGGCCTCCCGGCCCCTTCCGGGTGGCTGTGCACCTTGGAGCTGCAGTGAAGGCCGGTGGGGCTGAAGTAGTACTCCTCGCGCGCCGCAGATCTTCATGAAGGAGTGTGCCCATACTGTGGATGGATATCCGTTCGCACCACTTTGAAACCGTGGTTGAAACCATTGTTGGTTAGTATTTGTCAGGGGAATCATCGTTCCACGGCTTCCTAGGTGGTGCAGGATTTCGTCCATCCACAGTAGGTGTCCTTTTAGGGGAAATAGACGGCCCTGGTAGATGATGAAACCACCAGGTAAACCAGGAATCGCCATGCTATTTTTCTAGCAAAACGACCAAGAAGGACCTATGAGTGTTAAATTATGTGATAACGCTAAAGATATCAATGTCGCTGTTACCGCATTCTTCTGTTTTTTTTGTCGAAAAAATGATAGATATTACCCGTCGTGCCTGGAACATCGCGGTTCTGGGAAACGAAACGCCCACGGCAAAGCTGGCCGTTGCCACCAAAAAAACAGCAAGGGGCTTGCCCAAATCAAAGTATTCACGCAGCATTAGTGATTGGAGGCAGCAGCCTCGAGTGGGTGCTTTGGGGATGCCTACCCCGAAGTGGGCCCCCAACCTGTTTTCATCCGAAGCCTAAAACTGAAGCGGCACAACGGATGCAGGGAATGAGGGAATGACCCCTTTCAGCCATCCCTTGTTCGCTTGCCCCTTTAAGGAATTAGATCCCTAGGTTCATTCCCACCCAGAACGGACATTCCCTATCGCACCAGCCAGCAAAAAAGAAAAGCGATCCCCAGAACTCCTCACCCCCGATGAGCACGGAGGTGTGGTAGCCCCCCAGGCCCCTCGGAAGTTCAAAGGAACTGCCGAGGTGGCTTCCCTTTGCTCGCTCTTCAGCGAAGGAGGCGAAGGAGCCAACAAGAAGAACCCATGTGATGGGTCAAAATCCAAATCGTACCCTGAACATCCCGTACCCCCCACTAAAGTAGGTTCTAAAATGGGTGAAGTCACCTACCAACCAAAATGGGAGCCCATTGGCTTTGACCCACAGCCATGTCGGTTGATGCGACCTGCCCAGGTTCGGCGCAACACTGGAGCAGGCATTGGCCATTGGCCACGTGTCCTGTTGCCAAGAGGGAGATCGATGCCGATGTTGGAACTCAAGATGGCATAGAACTTTGGATTCTCTGGTGATCAACTCGTTTGTTGGAGCCCATGTGGACAATCAGCTGAACCCCATCATTATCTCCCTTCCCAAAAAGAGCATATAGCGTCACAGTGCCCACCAAAAAAAAGGGGTCCATATATTGAGTTCACCAGTTGCCAATTCTTCGATCACACTCTTAACGTGCGATTTGCGCCCAGATTTGAGCCGCAAAACGAACATCTCACGCGCACCGAGCCAACCGGCCGAACACACCGAGCCCAGCGCCGCAAACTGCCGAGGGGAGACACTGCCAGCTCCACCTCGTGGCCTCCGGCTTGGCTCCAAGCGAACGGAGAGGTCAATCCTTGGTGTCCTTTGTAGTCGATTTTAGTAGGGGAACCCTCACCAAAAAAGAAATGGTAAAAGTTGGCACCTAGCTGGGGGACCTAGATTTGCAAGCATAGGTGTCCTTTGGGACAAAATAGATGGCGGTGGGTCGAAAATAGGTACCCCAAATGGCTTGCCCTGGCAAGTGGAAGCATGGACCAAAACCTGTGGTCCGCTGGTGGGTTAATTTTTTGACCCATACCCAAATGGCCCTGGTCAATAGAACAAAACCCATCTAAACCAGTACCTTCTATTTTTGATCAAACTAACCTAAACAAGACACCTATGGACGTCAACCCTTGGAATGGTCTTGGCAAAAAAAAACCGACGCGGTTCTTTGCTGCCCCTACTCAAAACTGAACAGAAGCCAAAAAAATGAAAATCCCAAAAGCTTGCCAAGAAGAGTGAAGGAAAGGATCTGTATGTCCTACTTGGACAGAAAACAACTGAGGGACTCTATCAATATTGATGCTCTACGTGGTTTTGTCATTGCTTGCAGCTAAGAGCAACCCTGGTCAACCTTGCGGCCGATCGTCTAAATGTAGAAAAAGGCTCAACAGTTGTGCAAAATGGGTGCCGTCTGTGATAAGTGGCCACTATGACCACATGAATTCACTATGGGGAGTCTCTTTATCACGGAAAGTGACTCACCCAATCAACCAGCAATCAGTGCGAAAAAATTGCACATCTCCCCGGGTGCTCAAGCCAGGAACCTGCTCAGACATCTGGCGTGTTTAGTGTCTTGATCCACTCCCTTCTGTTTTGCTCATCCCCCCACCTTCCGGCTCAAGCAGGAAGAGAGTACCCAGATTGCTCACGATCGGCAACCAATACTACGAGCTCAAAATCAGCTTGGTGTCTTTCTTTGGAGAGTGCCCTTTCTGGGATTCGTTTAAAGGGGAACCAAGAGGGAACGAGACAAACCCAGCTTGACTCAACGCCGAACAGGTCTGTGCAGGTTCGGGTCAAGAGCCGCTGCGACCACTCGCCGGTCATGTTATTTGAGTTACCAAATATACGGGACTCCCTTCCTATTTCTTGCAACCAAAAGGCAACCCAAAAGAAACCAAGAGGGAAACTCAAAAGGAATGCACAAGGAACGCAGAGGAAACCAGAAGAACGCCCCAAAATCAAACCAGAAGGAAGCGAAAAGAAATGCCAACGGGAACTTCAGAGAAAACCAAAAGGAACCCCACAAAAACCAAGGAGAAATCATCCAAAGGGAAATCGGAAGGAGACCAAACCAAAGGACCCCCCGCCACATCCCGAAGGAGACCATCAAAAGGCAAAGCCGGGCGCCGGGCCGGGGCTCCGCAGCGTCCGCAGCAACGGCTGCTTCTGTGACTTTCCTCGGGTGGATAGAGGTTGAATCAAATTGTTTACTTTCCAACCCTTCATACGGCAGCAAAAAGCTTCGCTTTTTCCAGCCCAGTAAACAAGTCGTTTGCTTTCAAATAGTTTCAAATAGTTTCAATAGTTTCAAATCTGTCCAGTGAACGGAACCACAATTTCAACTTGTTTGCTTTCAACTAGTTGGCTCGCACGGTTTGGGCCAACACTGTTTCTTCTGAGTTAGGGCCTGCCATCCAGGCATGGCTCCTCACTGGGGATTTCACATTCCAATCCTCCCAGAGACTACAGGTACTGTGGCTGGTTGCGAAATCCGTTCGCACCACTTTGAAACCATGTGAAACCATGGTTTACTGTTGGTATTTACAGGGGAATCGAATCATTCTAGGGTTTCATGGGTGGCGCGAAATGGATTTCGCAACCATCCACAGGTATCAGTCGAGGACTGAGTCATTTTGACGCGTTGGTGGTGCCACCTCGGGCATGTGTGCAGCTCCTGAAACTTCCTGAGTGGATTGGCCAAAAACACGTCCAACTTTCTATTTACCCCCAAAATGGTCTTCCCAGCTCAGGGAGTGAGGGACCCTCAAACTTCCCGGAAATCAGTATCATGGGTTGCAAAATGGGGTATCATTTTTTTAGGTACCCTTGCTCACTTCTTGCTGGCAAGGTGGCAGGAGCCTTCGATATTGGATGAGTTTTACTGGCGAAAGGAAACCGCACTTCAACCAAAGAGAGCCAGCACTCCTCGGTTGCTTTCTGCTCCCTGCGAAAAATGATTAACTTTTAGTGGATTAATACGGAAAACCCATTAGTTGGCGAAAAGTTACATGTCCTAGCATCCAAGCAGTACGCATCGGCAAGAGGTGCATAAAAGGAGCTAAGCACGCAGCCAAACAACCACCCACGGGCGATCAGCTGTTCAGCCACCCTCACGCAAGCTTCCATTTGCTTAAGTTTTTTGGGGAAAATAACATATTTCCAGTCACGGGAAAATAAAGAAATATTTGTTTCAGCAAATTGGAAGTCAAACGCCAGAAAACGAGAGCCAGGCTGGGGCTCCCGGCCGGGATTGCAGTTGAAGCAAGGCCCTGTCATGCAGCAGGGCGCCAGCCAATCCTCCAGCCAGTCAAGCAGCATGGCCTGGCAAGGTGACAACAGCAAGGCTCTTGGTGTCCAGACTCGGTGACTGCTGCAAAATTAGTTTATTAAGCTTGGAAAGTAGAGGATGCCATGCAAAAAAAGCGACGTGAAACGTGTATGCATGGCGTATGTGTAGGTGTGTCTTTCGAGGTACCTTCGGCCGGGGGGGATTGTCGCAAGTGGCCATGGGTCAAAACCCCGTTCCCCCAGTGAACGTCCAAATCCAACCACTAAAATAGGTTCTAAAATGTGTGGTGAATTCGCATACCCCAAAATGGGATCCCATTGGTTTGTGACCCACAGCCAAGTGACCTCCAAACGTTTGGAGCGTTTCATGGCGTTTGGTTCCACACGAAAGGGTTCAACCCACCAAGCCGGAGAAAGCTCTCCCGAGGCCGTGGAAAGAACAGTCCTTGGCTTCCCACGATAGCCAAGGTGTGTCCTCTTTTCTTGGGACCCCAACAAATGTACCTTTGGTTGGCTTCCTGTTGATTTCCCTTTGGTTTCCTTTTGGTATCCTTCTAAAACTACCAATAAAAACACATGCCCACTTGGCTTCCTTGTTCAACCTTTGAGACACATGGGGTCTTCTAAACTTGACTTCCACATGTGATCCCTTCGCGCAACAACCTACCGTTGGTTTCCTTCTTGGTACCGACTCAAAAAGATAGTGCCTTATTGGTCAACCCAAAACAAAGGTTTTTGCTTTTTGGTTTCCCGATGGCCAATGCAAGGTGGCAGGTCAGCAACCCCTAGTTGGTGGTTTGGAGCGGTTTGGGGGTCAAACATAGGTGTCCTTTTAGGGCAAATAGATTGCCCTGGTAGATGATGAAACCACCAGGTAAACCAGGGCCATGCTATTTTTCCCCCAAAACAACCAAAAAGGACACCTATCTGGGTGAAGTTTTTTTGTTCACCAACCTGACATAAGCTGCTGGTTGGGGGGCAATTCCCCACATAAACCACGATTTGGGGTGAATTCGGTCGTGTGAGGTTGTTATAATTCACCCAGATCCAATTCCCCATTCGCACTGACGCGAATGGGCCTCTGGTAGGTTTTGGACTTGGCAGGCCCTGAGCGCACCACAAGGGAGCAGCCCGACCTCACCGGTTTCAATCCTGGTTCTTATTGAGGGTAAACCTGAAGCGGGAAGTCTCGAGGTTGCCTGCCCCGGCCAGGCCGCCGGCCGCGGCGCGCGCTGGGCTGCGGGTGCTGCGAGCCGTGGGGTGTTGTCTGCGTTTTGACACGTACGTGGGGCCCATGCATATATATACATATATATATATATGTCTGTCTGTTTATATCTATTTATTTAGTGTATTTTTACTTATTTATTTACTTATTTGTTTGTTTACTTGTTTATTGACTTATTTATCTATTTATTTACATATATATGTATATATATATATACATATCATCAGCAGAGCCATCAACAAAATCCACAGAGAAATTGAGCCGATGATGCCTAGGATCCAGTATGATGCTGCTGAGTCTGAGGCTTTGCCACCAACGCTGGCACGCGATGTCGCGTGTCTGCAAGCAGACACTTCGAAGCTTTTGGTCGAAGCCGCTCGCGGCGTTTCGGCAACCCAGAGGATCTGCAGGAAGCATGGATTGCTTTTAAACTTCTCCAAGGGCAAATCAGAAGATCTGCTAAAGCTGCACCGGCCGCAGTCAGCAGCAATTCGGCGCAGATTGCACTTTGATGAGGCCGGACAGCTCGCTTTTGAACCGGGCAATCGCTGGAGCATGGAACAATAACAATGAAGGGCGGCTCGTTACCGATGCTGAGGCGCTTCGCACACTGAAACAACCTTCAGCTGGAGTCATTATCCGTGTCAATAGACATCGGTACTGGCGAAGATTCCTGCAGCACGCACCAAATGAGTTGCAGCTCCTTGTCATAGACGAGGACAAGTACCTCAAACAGTCCTATCTCGAGTTGGTCAAGCACGACCTTGCCTGGTTAAAAGAATGCTCGCCAGACTCTTTCCAAGGCGACCCCTCACCTTAGGTTCATTTGCAAAAATGGGCTGCAAGAGCTGGTTGGGGAGATTCCAAATGGGAAAGGAATCAGCTTTTGATTAGAGTCAAGCAGAGATTCAAGCAGTCAGTGTCTGACTGCAGAGATTCTAAATGGTTGAGTCAAGCAGTCAGTGTTGATTCAGACCGGTTACGAGGAGTGGCGCAATCGCTTCGAAACAACCCGGCTTTGAGGCTGGAGGTGTTCTGAGCGCCGACAGCGCAGTTGCAAAGCCCGATTTTCTGAGGCTGCACAGATGCGAGTTTTGCAACCAGAGTTTTGACACAGCTGCTGCTTTGTCAGTGCATGCGTACAAGAAGCACAGCGCCTTCTCGATTTGCAGGCGCTATGTCGGCAATGGCACAGTTTGTCACGCTTGCGTGAGGAATTTCATTCCATTGCCAGATTGCGACAGCACTTGCAATATGCACCAAACACATACTTGCAGCGTTTGCAGTACTGGGCAAAGCCACTTGATGACACGTGTTTCAGTCCAGCCGCATTTGCCAACGTTTGCCCGGCCCGGTTTTGCCCCCTGTCCCTTGTGAAGACAGGCATGGTTGGGAGGCTCCGGTTGTAGCAGCCGTTGAGTGTGACGAGGGTGCCCGCTGTCAGTCGCGCACCTGGCCAGAATAAATCTGCTTTGATTCGCTTGAACCGCCTGACATTGCTCTTCTCCTTGGTACTCACGCAGCTGTCACACAGGCAGTGAAACAAAGCTATGATGATTTCTGCAGTTTGTGGCAGCACGAGCGCAGTGACATTTCAGCGTATGAAACAGTCCTTGCATGGCATGAGAACTTTCTGCGGCCTTTTTGACACTCCAGAAACCAGCGGCATGCGATGCAAAGCACTCGCGCTTTTGCCAAGCTGGGTCAGAGATGTAAGGCGAAGTGTCACTTTTGGGGGCAGAGCCACTCTTCAGGACATTGCCGACTTTGTTCCTTATTTGAGGGTTTGCTTTTGTGTTATTTCTCTCTTGTCGGGGGGAAGAAGGGAAAACGATGTTCGGCATTGGACTGAAGGGTTTTGTGAATCTCGCCCTTTTCACATTACTGTTGTCAGTGTTAACATTCTCACTGACGCTACTCAGTTTGACATGCTCAACCCAGCAGTTGTTGACACTTGGGTCGGACATATTCGATCTGGACGGGTTCTAGCTGCTCTCATTTTCCCCCCTTCTCAGAGCTGGGCTCCAGCTCTTGCTGATGCCCAGACGAAGGCAGAACACGGTCCTCCTAACCCCCGGCTGTGCAACATGCCTAGGGGCTTATCTCGTTTGAGTGCTCGACAACTAAGGCGCGTGAGTGTTGCGAGCTGTTTGCTTCAGGTTTGTCTTGTTGCGTGTGAGTGTGTCCGGGTTGGCGCTTCATGTGTTGTCGAACACCCTGATGAAACATCTTCACGTTGCTCACCCTCGATTTGGCGGCTTCCGCAGATGCGTTGGCTTGTACAGGCCCTTTTTTCGAGGTGTCACAGCATCATGACGCGGCCTTTGTGTGCCGCCTCTGCCACGCAAATGCGCCTTCTCTCGCACTGTTTTCCACCGTTGGCTTCAAGGCTCGCCGAAGGACAGTTGCCAACCGGTGCCCATTTGCATCCGCAAACGCTGAAAGGTGAGGATTGCCAATAACAGTTCACGACCTGTGCAGCTTGCATGTTTTCTTTCTCTTCGTTGTGTCGTGGTTTTGCTTTGACTCTTGTTGATGCTGCACAGGGAAAGGTTGACAGGAGGGAGGATTGCGCTGTTGATAAAGATTTTCTTCAGCAGATCGCCCAAATTCAGTATAGCTCTGAGTTGTCTGGGGGAGAGCGGAGGCAGTGATTTCAAGATTGGAGCTCAAGTAGCCCCAGAGGAATTCGTTTTCGATCAGCATGTGGCGCGGATTGATCCCCTTAGCCGTGTGGAAGAGAAGACATACATATATCTATACATATACAGATATATACATATGTACAGATACATGCATACATACATATATATACTATATATATACATGGTCAAGATAGGGTACTCACAAACATTGTGGGTTTCTATTTTGGGTGTCCCTGTAAACAAAGTGAAACAGGTTCCCACCCCCGCAAAAAAAAAAAAAAAAAAAACTAAATGGCGATAACCTCTCTCCCCCAACACTGGCTGGTGGACAGACTTCTTTTTGTTGATGTCCAAAGAGGGCCCACATAAAGTCATGCCAAGACACATCCACACCGCACCGATTCTCCCCATTTCACCAAGAGAATGTCTACTGGAGGTCGCTCGTGCTTCCTTAACCGTCGCTCTAGAATTTGGAAGCAACTTGAAAGGTCGCTCCATCAATCAAAAAGTCCTGTTCACTTGGTTCTTGCTATGTTGCTCAGTGCCGGTTGGGTGATGTAGAGCCTGGCTGAAGGTGCTGTAAATCCTGTTCATTCGTGGGTCCCCCAAAATGGCCATCAAGGTCCTGGATTTGTTTCATACAGGCTCTTACTCTTACAATACGCCGTGTCAAGCCCCTGGACAAACACCTCCCAGCAAATGAGCAAACACGTCTTTGTTGATGCTTTTCAATTGCAACATCATCTTGCCCAGTGCGGACCCTTTTGACTGACAGCCTCACAGCCACCTTGGGCGCTGGAAGGGAGGTTTATTAACAGCGGTCAAGCTCCAGCCACAGACTTCGCGGTCGAGTGAAAGGGAGAGCGAAAGGGAACCGATCGATTCCTTCAAAGGATCGGGCTACATATTCCAGGAGAAAAGCTTGTTTGCGGTGTTTGGGAGCAATGTCCTGTAGATTTTCCTGGAACCAAACCCTTGGATTCACTCCTCTGATCACGAGTCCAGGCAGGGAGATCACGCTAACCGAGCCGACTTTGGGCATGGGCGACGCGTCGCCGCACCGATGCAAGCGATCGCATCTGGCTGTTAACCACTCATAAATCAGCGAGGGCTCAAGCCCGCGATGGGACATTGCCCAGCATTGAGACTTGCCTTGTGTGAACTTCCACTTCTGAACATGTCTTGTTTTGCCTCCAACATGATCAGGACAGCTCAAATGGGTTCACCGCCCGTCTCACGGCGCCCTAAGGGAGCCTGCCCGAAGGCCGGGCTGCACCACGTGCTCTTCGCCTGGGAATGTGCCAACCCCCCTGCTCCAAATGCTTGGTTTCAAGGCGACTCAAAAAAGGCGCCCCGGATTTGGCTCCTGCTGCAAAAGCCAATCACTCTTTTGCTCTATTTGCTGCATGCACGAGTATGGACATGTGCTACATGCATTGCAATACGCATTGGCGAGCTACCTGCAATGATCCACTAGGAAATTCATGTCTCTGCCACGGCCCAACTGACGCAAAATTCATCGCTCCTAACAGCTCCCCGCGGCAAAGGATGCTGCAAATGGGGACTCGGGATATCATTTAGAGGTCTCAGGCATCCCTCTCTTGATGGCTATTGCCCCCACCAACAGCAAGTTGGTCAACTTGTTGATAGTGGGGAACCACCGTTTGAAAAAAAGCAAGAGAAAGAAACTCAAAGGTTCAAGATCCAACCAAACAGCCAGCTGCTCTCTAAGACTTCTTAAGACTCGCCAAACCTCGTGTTCCATTGGTGTCCCCCCTTAAACCAACCCAAAAGAGGGTTTATCTCAACAAATAAAAAAGACAACATCCAAATAAAGCATGCAGTTGGCTCTCCTCCAAAAAAACAACACATCAAAAAAACGCGAAGAAACGCACGAAGTCCCAAACAAACAAAAAACAACGTTGGTTCCGCCCCCCCAGACAAAAGAAGAAACAAAAACGCAAAAATAAAAAATGAAAATAAAAGCACACAGAGACAGAGAGACAGAGAGAAAGAGAGAGAGAGAGAGAAAGAGAGAGAGAGAGAGAGAGAGAGAAAGAGAGAGAGAAAGAGAGACAGAAAGAGAGAGAGAAAGAGAGAGAGAGAAAGAGAGAGAGAGAGAGAGAGAGAGAGAGAGAGAGAGAGGGAGGGAGGGAGGGAGGGAGAGAGACTTGCCGCCTGGCAGCCTGCAGCCTTCAGCCTGCGCCCGCGCCTAGGCCCAGCAGCCTGCGCCGCGCCTCAGGGCCCGCTTGGCTCCACCTCAGCGACCCCAACAGCATCACCAGTTACATGTGGGGATTGTTCTGATGTGTGTGTTTCATCCTCAGAAAGCAACGATTTACGAGCAACCTGGTCAAAAGATGATTTTTATAGCATGTTTACTGGTGGGGCCCCAAAGGCGAGGCGCAGCGACCTTCAGGGGGGCATCATTTGTCGGGTCAGTGGGTCAGGGGACGTGGAAGGTTTTCCCGACCTTGTTCCCTCCAACTTGTTTGTTCCCTCCAGCCAACAAGTTTGCTCCCCACTGAAAGGGGCATGGCAATTAGTGAGTGGGTAATAACTTGGATTATAACCCACTTGCCATGATTGGAAGTCTTGCAACCAGGCGAATTAACCACTTATATATTGTTTCTATTTATTTATGTGTGTGTGTGTGTTTCTTTAAAAAGAAGCAAAACAAACACTCCCCGATCGCCCCTTTAAGTACAAGTACCCTAAGGGGACCGGGCTCATGAAACCTTCGGGGGGAGGACCATGGCCAAAAAGCGCCAAAGGGGAAGGAGAACCATGGGCCCCCAGTATGGTAGGAGAACCTAATAATGGGAGAATCCCGGCCCAAAAGCGCCCAAAAATCATGATCATAATAGCCTCCCACCGATTAACGGAAGGAACCTGACGTTTCGGAGAGGTCCTGGTTTGGACAATTGTCCTTTTAAAGGAACGTCAGGTTCGAGGAAAAAAAGGGTGAGAGGGTAATGGCCAAACGCGCTTCACTGGACTTGAGGGCACACGAAATAGCTCGCGAGTTCAAGTAAGTGGCTGGAATGGAAACCGGGCAATGCCCCAGTCAAATCTTTGTTCGTACACCTGCCATTTCAAGGAGTCTCTAACAACCCAGTCACATCAGGCTCTTTCTGACAAAAGGGAAAATATCCCATATGCAATTCACCGACATTTGCACTTGTCTTGACTCTGAGGCAGCTGGCTGCTGCCAGTTGAGCCGCATTGGCCCTCCTGGAACGTGCTTTGTAATTATGCGAGGCTCAAGACCCCCTCAACTGAAATGGGGGGTTCTTGACATTGTCCCCCCCCCCCCAAGAAAAAACATGCGGCGCAGTTGTCCGCTTGCACGTCTCCAAATCAGCGAGAAGGACCAGCTTCTAGGGCTTTTGGAGCTCATGAGCCCCAATGTCATGAGGATTTGGGTGAGTCTCGCCCCCTTTTCTCTAGAGAGTTTGACTTCACACACCGTGGGTCAAAAATCGGTTAACCCCAAAATGAAACCCTGGTAAATGGAACCAAGGACTACACCAGCGGTCCCCTAGTGGTCTAATTTTGGCCCATGCCCACAAAAGAATAAGGTAAGGAACTCGCATTTTGGGGTTTCGACTCCATGTCGCAAGAGATGACCGCAAGGTTCCACTGTTTGACTACCCCAGGGCTTAAACCCAGGGGTGGCTCATTCCCCCCAAAAGGAGAACCCCTGGGTTTAATTCTACCCTGGGGAGTCAAACAGTGGAACCCTGGATGACCGAGCCTCGAGATGCTTTTTTCGTGCCGAGCTCACGCGCGGCGTCGAGGCGTCGAGTCGAACAAACCCGGCCGGCTCCACGCTTCTTTGGCCAGTCCAATGCCGGCGGGTAGAAGTCCGCAATGGACCTGCGCCTTGGCATGGGATGGCCAAGAACAGCTCGGCGCCCGCTTCATTTTCCATGTCCCTTTCTTGCGCTGCCAGTCATTTCCCTACTCCCTTCGTGTCCTTTGGTGCCCTTTGTTTCCCTTTCATTCCCACCCCAAGAAGGAGAAACACACCAGCGTAGACCCCAGAGAGTGAAACCCGGCGGAGGATTGCGCCTCAAACGGCACCCCCCCGAAGAGCGCGCCAAACAGCTGCCCCCGGCACCCAGCCGGGAAAAATCTCGCGAATCCATTTCCCCAAATTGTATATTAGAAGTTAGAACCCCATAAAGCTTTCAGCTAGGGGAAAAAGACAATTGCCTCCAGTCCATAGGTGGCCATTTGGAAAAATAGATGGCCCTGGTAAATAGAAGAAACCCCATCTAAACCAGTGCCATCCATTTTTAAATCAAACTAACCTAAAAAGGACACCTATGCTCCAGTCCTGTAACATGGAACTTAGCAGAGTCCCCCTGTCAGGTTCCATGGCTCATGGCCTGAGAAAGGGCAGTGAGGCCCCTTGCGTAATCCGAGGGATCCGGCCGGAAGCCAACTTTGGTTCCCCAAAAGCTGCAAGATTCTGCGGCCTTGTAGCAGGGAACAAGGGCATGCCGTGCCGTGCGAAGGGAAACATTCAAATGGCCCGAGTGGGAATTGTCCGCCCTGGAACAAAAACCGAGTTAGTGTTTGCTAGCCAGAACAAATGCGATGCAGACCAGACCAACCCCCAAAGCCCTTGGTCCATTGCCATTTCGTTTCATGAATTCGGGGAACCTGAATTTGACAAAGAAACGCAAGCCCTGCGCTGTCTGCGCTTTTTTTGAATGGCTGATGTGCATCAACGGGCATCCCCGACCCAGAACCAGTGCTCTTCGGCTCTGAGTTGGTGGGGCGCACGGCAACGGGGACTCCGGGCGCGACGTCGCTGCTCAGGAGCCGCTCCAGCAGCCAATGTCGCTGCCTCTCCTCGGGAACGACCACAGCCAGGCCCAAGCGGCCGATTTGGAAGAGGGAGCTTTTTCTGGAAATGCCCAGGCGAAACAAGCGAACTCCCGAAGAGTTCCATGTCTACTCAGAGCGACTGAAATTGTCGGGCCATACTGTGGACGAAATCCTGCACCCCTAAGAAACCCCGGAATGGTACACACACCAACACAGACAATGCTTTCCCTGGGTTTCAAAGTGGTGCAGGCTTGGTCCATCCACAGTATCATGTTCATGAGAGCGGGCCTCAGCCACCATGCTTAGTCTTGCCTACAGAATAGGCTAAGCTGGGAGTTAAATGACCCAGAATTCTAGATGTCCGCTTTAAGGAACCGCACGATGGATATGTATGTTGATCTGTTCAGACCCCTTGTTTACAACGACTTTAAGGGGCTGTCGCAGCACTTCCTTCGGGCTTTCAAGCCCCGAGCAAGCTGTTTGGCAAGGAAAGTGGGTTCTGACCAGCCAAGGGTTCCTGAGCTTACGAAGTTTTCCCTGAGGATAGTTCACCCTGGGTCAAACCTTTGCCCAAAAGAAAGACGAGCCACCCAAAATGTCCGAATGGAACAACCGAAGCCCTTTGAGGCGGTTTAGCCCCCAAAAAAAATGACAAATCCAGCCACCCAAATGTCTGAATGAAAAAGCCGAAGCCCTTTTAGGCGGTTTAAAACCGCCTGAGGGGGGGAAAAAAGCCCCCCCCAAAAAAAAACGAGCCACCAATGCCCCAAGGACTCTTAGCCCCAAGAACTCGTAGCCTTCCCCTCCTGCGGCGTGTACCTCAGCTCGGCGAAGGGCCGAAAGAAGGCCTGGCCATGGTCCGAGTCGGTTCCCGAGAAGTCGGCGCCCTGCTGAGAGTTCGAACCCCCAACTTGGGGGAAGCATGTGTTGCTTTTTCTGTGTTATTTTTGGTGTGCGCGTGTGTGCGTGTGTGTTTTTTAGTGCCCTCTTAGCATAAGTTATGTTTATTTCTTCTTCTTCTTTTTTTTTGGGGGGGGGGTACGATTTTTTGTCTAGTGTTGCTTTTCTTGCTGGCGCGATAGGGAGGGAATGACCGAGACCGGGTATTGAGAATGAAACGGTTTTGGGGATTCCCGAATAAAAGAAAGCATATGGGATTTTTTGTTGGAGTCATTCCAACTCATTCCTTGCTGAGAACAAGCAAGTATATGGTCCCTCTTAGCATGAGTTCAGTCACTTGGAGAAATACACATCAACTGTCCCTGTTACTAGCATGGAATCTGACAGGACCATTGTTCTCTCTTTTCGGCCTCTTCGGTGAAGGGCATCGACGCGTCCGCTGGGATTCTTTGTGCGAAACATCAACTCCCCTCGTGCACTCACAAGGCCCGTCTGAAGGAGACGGGTCATGCCAAGGATGAGCAGGTGCTTAGGATTTCAGGAAGTGCGGAGAATCGAGTCTTCACTACATTCCTTAGCAGTACACCGCAGTTCTAGAATCCAAGAAGGCGGACGCCTCCGCAGCCAACGCTTATCCCAAATGGCGAGTGCTCTTTTAGTTTGCTGACTCTCTTTTGAATTCTGTCCCTTCCTTCCTCAACCACTTTAAAGATACTAGGAAATGTGTAAACATGTAAAGACGCCCCTTGGCTGGCAAGCAGACGCGGGACCAAGCCGAAACTGTGGCCATTCGGAGGGATCTCATTTGACACATCACCTCCCGATGCGCCTCCGGCCCATCCAGCAGCCACAGAGCCCCGTCGACCTGTCCAAAGTGTGCGGGCGGCTTTTTGATCGTCTGATGTGGCCATGGGTCAAAATCCCGTACCCCCAGTGAACATGCCAATCTCCACTAAAATAGACTAAAATGGGTGGTGCACCTACCCCAAAATGGTACCATTGGTTTTGACCCACAGCCATGTATCAAAATCAGCTGGAACCCTTGGCTCAACTGGAAACTCCGATTTTGACACACCAATTACATGTGTTGCTCCCTCGAAACCCTTTCAGCTTTGCCTAACAAGCCATCACCATATAATGTGCCTATATATATGTAGGACACTAGCAGTTTGCCTCGTGTCACAGAGCTCACTGTTTTGGTTGCTGTTTGCGAAAGGGATAGCATAAGATCCTCTATTATGGAAATGGTCCTTGACAGCATCATCAGGACTCAGGTGAAGAAAAGTGTCTTGCTTTTGGGCCTCTGGTTTGGCTTTGAGCGCTCATCCTTGTTGGCTATGTTGCCTGCATATGTTTCTCGGGCTGATAAAGACCATCGGCCTCAATTCAATTTTTACCGCTTTGGTGGAACCAACAGCCAATGGGTTTTGGACGCTGCTGTTGTTCATGTCACGCAGAGGCCAACTGCCCGCAAGGGTCATGCTTCAAAGAAGAGCAGTTCGGCTATCCCACTTTTCGTTTCCAAGTCGAGGCTAGCACACTCAACTTGTCACGGCCTCGCCAGGGCTGATCACTTTGGGATACTGTTTCCTTTGGCCTGGGTTGGTGATATTTGTTAACTGGACATGGCAAGGTCTCACAATACTTCCATGAGTTGATGGACAAGTCGTCAAGGTTCCATTCAACCTGTTCAATTATTCGGCTTGAATAGCCTTCACAACGCATGTTAAACCAATGAAGAATCAAATGAAGAATCAAATGTTGGATAGGCTACTAGCATTTCCCAAAATCGACAGCAAACACCAAGTTCACGCGTATAAACTCTATATCTGATGTATACCAGCCGGTCTACACAGGCCGCTTCTAAGCTGTGCACAAGCCAAATTAAGCGCGTTGTTTAAAAAAACAAAAGATCTACATGAACAGAATTTCAGTTCTGTTTCAGTCGAGGCGTCGGAGCCGGGCTACAAACGAATGCCGCTTGAGCTGAGACATGTGTACGTCACGCTCTTCGTGAGTCAATCACCACGGCGCCCAGGACGAAAATACCAATGCCAATGCCACCCAAACTTTTGCCACGCGCTGCTCGATGCAGAGCTGAGCGCTACCCTACTGCAACTGTACCGTGACCAGTGCCGCAGGCCAGAGGTTTTTCTCCGCGAAAGGAAAAGGTTGAACCACAGTTGTCCCCTAGGCAGTTGAAGTCTCTCGCAGTCCCTATTCGTTGAGATCTTCGGTGACAAATTATATGACAGTGCGACATCACTGGGTGTTTCTCGACTCTTCCCTCTCCGTTGCAACTTCTCATCCTCTTGCATGGAACGGGGCAGCCCTGGCGCTTGCTCTCTCGGCTAGCATGTTGATTTGCTCTTGGTTGTTGGCGTCAAACACTCGGTCCGGATGGATGTGCTTGTATGCATCTTGCAAGGTTTCAATCAGCCAATGAGCTCTTGGTTTTCCTACGCGCCTGATATGTTCTTGTCTCGGAATATTGGTGTGCGGGTGGAACAGGACCTCTCTCATGGGGTCAGCACTTGTGGCTCGGAGTATGTGCCCGAGCAACGTAAGTTTTCTAGATTTCCATTTTGCTGAAAGGCTCACATGCGTGTAGTTGTGTGCCTGCGTTAGCGTGTTTACGACTCTTTGGTTTGTCCATGTTCGATCCAGATGCGTGGGTGGCACATTCAGTATTCGCCTGAGCATTTTATGTTGCCAGGCATCTAGCCTATTCTGTTCACTCTTTGTTAGCTGTATTGTTTCAAGACTGTAAAGCAATTTGCTTATCACAATACTGTCTAGGACCCTTATTTTCCAAGCGATAGTGGTACGAGCTTGTGACCAAAAAATCCGTAGTTGGTTGGCAGCTGCTGCGGCTTCTCCGATTCGCTTGATAACTTCTCTGTGATTGTCTACGGCATCTGTCAAGGTGGCGCCCAAATATGTGGCTTGTGTTTTTCGAGGGACCTGCGCGCCATTCATGAATTTTACCGAGGATTGCTTTCGATTGATTGTCAGGTTAATGCACTTTTCAAAGTTCAGCGCCAAGTTGTACTTGGCAGACTCCACTTGGACTTGCCGGAGTAACTTGTTTATTGTTTGCGTGTGCGTTCCAAACAGTAAAGTGTCGTCCGCGTATAGGACTTCGGCATAGTTGATACCATGGATGGGTTGTAGTTGCTTCGGCGTGTTAAGTTCAGTTTTTATATCTTGGAAAATGGCCGTCATAGTTATGCCAAAAAGATAAGGGGATAAGGGGCAGCCCTGCCGTATGCCAGATTCCTGCCTATGGAATGCTGAGCTGTGCTCACCCTGGACAACTCTGAACTGCGCGTATCTATAAATGTTTCGTACGAGGTTTACCATGCGCTCTGGTATGCACAGACGTTGGAGCACCTTTACTAGTTTGCTTTGGTCGACCTTGTCGAAAGCTTTTTCCCAATCCAGTAGCGTTAGTGTCAAATTGGTACCCTGTCTCTCCGCAATATCCATAAGTCGCCTAGCCAAGAAGATTGCCTGCGCTGTCGACCTTTTCCTTCGAAAACCATATTGCGTTTTGAGTAGCCATGGTTCCAGCGCTTCTTCCAGTCGCATCTTGGTCATGGCCGCTAAGATTTTGTAAAAAGTCTGCAGCAGAGCAATGGGTCGGTAATTGGCTAAGTTTGATGGATCTCCTTTTTTATAGATCGAAGCGATATTTGCATGGTTAAGGGAATCAGGGTACCGCTCGTGCATGAGGATTTGGTTGTAATGCGAAAGCAGGCGCCCCCTATTGACACTGCTCAGCCATTTCAGCAGCTCCGGTGTGATTTCGTCTGGCCCTGGCGTTTTGTTGGTTTTTAAATTCTTTATGGCAGTGTCCAATTCATGGGGCTCCCATTCGGTGGCCGTGACCTGTGCTCCCACGTGCGATAACGGACTTGGTTGTTCCGGTTCGTGGCCTTCTGGTTTCTTCCATTGGACGCTGGACAGGTATTCCGCCGCAGCATTAACAAAGTTTTCCTCCGCAATGTAATTGCCATCCTTATCTTTGAACTTAGAATGTCTTGGCACAAACTTTCTCCGTAGTCTTTTGAGCCCGTTCCATTTGTAGCCTTGCGCGTCTATTTCCTCAAGTTGGTATTTGATGTGCTTCCGCCTGTCTATGCGCACTTGCCTGCGGATTTGCCTTTCCAGTGTCTGAGCCTCATTTCGCTGATTGTTTTCGTTTTTTGCTTGTTTCTCTTGCAGTAGCTGCCAAGTCTCTTCGGAAATATACCTCTTTTTTTGGGATGGGGGGACGCGGGTGAACGTTTCGTTTGCTGCGGTGTGTATCACTTTTGCCCAGATTTGAAAGGCGTCAGACTGGTCAATGTTATTGTACGCTTGGAGCATTTCTTGCACATGGTCATTGTAGTGCGTCAGTTGCTCCACTGTGGGTTGTCTATATCTGGGTGTCTTTTGACACTGTCTTTTTGGTGTTCTGGCAAGCTTGACTCGGATCTGCGCAATCAGCAGGCGGTGGTCAGTGCTAACTGCATGTCGCGAGCTTGTTTCCACATTTGTAATTGCGTTTCTCCACTTGTGATTGACAAGGATGTAATCGATTTGTCCAAAGCGGTCAGTCGTAAACGGAGGTGTGTAGTTTGGTGTTGCGGCATTGCGGTGTGTAATCAGTTTGGCCAATGGCTTTTCAAACCATGTGTTGGTTGCCACCAACTCATGCTCCTGACAGAATGACGTGAACCGAAATCTATTGTCTTGTTGATTGACGCTGAGTTGGCTGATGTTGTCCGTGTCGTTCCGGAAAATGTGGGGACCAATGACATTGCTTTCGCGGCCTAGCTGCTCCATAAGTCTCGCGTTGAAGTCTCCCATGAATATGTTTATCTCATGCTTTGGCAACGCTGCAGCAACGTGATTAAGATGGCTGTAAAATTCGTCCTTTTCTTGCTCGTTGCGTCCTGCATGTGGGGCGTACGCTGCTACCACATTGGTTTTAACTGGGTATGTATTAAAAGTCGCAAGTAGCGTTCTGCCATTCACTTGTTGGACATTCTGCTTGTGCGCCGTTAGCTGCGGACTGTACACTATTGCTACTCCGTGCTTCTCAGCATCTAGATTGTACAGCTCGATTTCTGTAAGGCTGGGCTGTGGCTGCTGTCTGTGTTGCTCCCGTTTTTGGTCAGCGCGTGCTTTCTGATCGTGCGTTATGTTTGTGGAGAAGTAAAAAGTGTACCCATCATGAACTTCCACTGAATTTACATTAACCCTGGTTTCTTGCAAGGTAAGAATGTCTAGCTCATGTTCTTTCATTAGGTGGATGACTTTTTCCCGCCCGGAGAAATGCGTGATGCCCCCATCGAGATTCAGAGTCGCTATTCCAGCGTGTCGCCACTGCAGCTGTGCTGGCTGGTTAGGATTTGGATCTGGCTCCTGTGGTTCTGGGCTCTTGTTAGCACGCTTTTGCGCATTTGCGGCAGGGTATTCTTGAGCTGTTTCATAAGTCTCACAAGGCACAGCCTCAACCTTGTGACACTTCCTCAGTCTTCTGTACTCCCGCCTTCTCAGTGCTCGTCGGGCTCTGCGGTTTGCGCGTCTCATTGCTTGGGCTTCATCAGAGCGTTTGTACTGGCGTGGTTTAAGATGAGTGCGGCTTTCTTTGTGTGAGTCAAAATGCCCCGGCTGAGGCTTCGGGTCTTGCGCCGCTTGGTTCCCACTGCAAATATTGCTGCGGGTCTCCCACCGTTCCCTGTGGGGGTGGGCGCGCGCAGTGAGTGAGTTTAAAGCATTACGGTGTCTTTGTGTTTTGTAGATTCCTTTCTGCTTATATTCATTTCTCCCTGGTTGCACTCTTTTTAGAACTACTTTTCTCTTCCCGTCATGGGAATGAGTGTTCGGTGACATATTCGGTGACATATTCGGTGACATATTCGGTGACATATTCGGTGAGATATTCGGTGACATATTCCGTGAAATATTCGGTGACATCTTCGGTGACATGCGTCTCACAATTGACTCTTGTGTCGAAATTGGCCCACTGGTATGACATAAGGGGGTAGCTACGTACTTATGGAAATGGTCGCCCCTACCGTAGCAATGGAAGACCGTATGCGACACAATTGTTTTGCCGCGGTCTTGTTTACGCTGTATTGTTGTCCTGTACAAGGTATTGTTAAAGGGATCCAATGTGTACCTAGCCCTTTTACGCATGCTCGGTTGTTTCCTGTTCTGGGCGGACCTATGTGTCTGGCACTTACTACGGCACTGGTTGCTACTGCTACGACGTAGTCAGCTCCATCGTTTCAGGAGTCTGTACAGATGCTCGTTGTACGTCTTTACGTACTCAGTCGAGCCGATCGCCTGTACATCCATGCGGAACGGCAGCTCAGATTTCAGCGCTTTCTCCATTACACTGCCGTACCCATTCTTCTTTCCCTTTCCAGCACCCTTGGTAAGCCCGATCTGTTCCAGAAAGGAGCCTTCCGGGTTCAAGGCCTCGCCCATCGTCATTCCCTCGATCATGGACAGCGCCTTGCCCTTGCCTTTTCCCCATCCTTTTCTTGCCATCCACTGATACTCATGCTTGGCCAGGGTGTCGCGGAACACTTTCTTGTCGAACTCGTCCTGGTTGATGTACACGATGCATTTCCCATGCAGGTGATCTAAGGCACACCACACTAGGTACTGCTGAACATCTCCACGTGTGTCCGGGGTGTAGATCGTGTTGTGCTGCCAGTCCTTCTGCCAAGTCAGGTCTGGACGCAGCTCGGAGACGGTAGCCATCGCTAGCTTCAGGGGGACGCTCTGGATCTTGTCGAACGTGGCAATCATGGGCTCAAAGACCAACTTCCCGTTGACGTCCGCCTTGTTGCTTCGGTCAGTCTTGAGAGTCTTCAGCCCCTCTTGTTGCTCCTGCGCGATCCATTCGGTCACCCTGTTGCTGTGCGTTTTCTTCATGTGCTCGAGAAAGACCTGCCGGGTCCGTGCATCTCCCACATCGACCACGCAGAACGGAGAGAGGTTGCGACCCATGTAGTTGGAGTAACTGAATGCCCGCAACTTGTCCTCACTGATGCCTGCCTCCATGGCGTAGTACTGCACCAGCGCTTTGCGGTGGGATTCCAACATGTAGTAATCCTTGTTTCCCTGCGGTTCGTATTTCCACCAGTTTTTCACTGAGATTTTGCTGCTGGCCTCTTGCCGCTGTCGCTCGGCCGTTTGCCACAGCAAGTACCGCACTTGAGACTCCTGTTGAGAGAAGTCGTCCGACAGAGATTGGAGATCTGTCATGATGTCTCCCATCGTCTTCGACTGCACCAGCTCTTCATCAAAGTGTGGTTGGCGCATTGCTTCTTCACTTTTGGTCCTCTTCGTTTCTCTTCCAGGTGGCGGGGTGTACATGCTATGCCTTTTTGGTTGATCAACTTCCATCGCTGCCATGACTCCCACTATATTCTGAAAGAGTGACCCAAAGGTCCTAGATCCTACTCCTGCCACCCAAACTGCAGGATATTTTTGGCGGGTTGATCACTGATGTGATGAACCCACCTAGTTGGCATGGCTGCAACTCTTTTCGGGGAAAAAAGAATCCACGCCTTGTAGCTACCAGGCATTTCCCCGCAAAGGTCCGTCACCCCGCGCTGAGCATGATTCCAATGGCACGGTGGACTTCATGGACTAAAACGTGGTGAAGCCCGGACACCTCTGGTTTGGGGATATCAAAGCGCTGGACATCTCGGGCTATCTGCAAAGGGCGATGCCCGGCTTCAGCAGTCGAAATATGCCGCAACCCTAACGGACATGGGACAATTTGAGCACGCACCCCATTTTAGTGGTACCAAAGGCTGGGTACTAGATATTCTGACCGAACCTCACGTGGGTGATCCGTGTTGTTTTTTTCTTCTAGGGTTTTCTGCATATGGTTCTGGGTCAATACTTTTTTCAGGACTCGGACGGCAGGCAGTCTTTGCTTCTATTTCCCGCAAGCCATGTTGGGAACCTCACATACATACAGACACACACACACATGATATAGTCGACTCGTGGACGATTTGTGGGGTTCCTGTCAGCAAAAAAATGGTGCCGGCCTTACACATTACACAATCGACTCTTTGACGATTTGTGGGGCGCCTTAGACCGAAAAGTCCCAGAAGATGTGGGTGTGGCTCAAAATTCAAAGAGCTAGGGTTACGCAGGTTTTACTCCTTGGTTCCACGTGCCAGGGTGCCATTTTGGTAGATCTTATTGACCCATACCCATGTCCACCAATTTTCGGGTTGGCCCGGCCTCGAGCTCCGCTAGCCCTGCAGGGCCCAGGGACACCCCGTGCTCGACGCCTGGGACCTGGGCGAAGGCGAAGCCTTCGCAGTCTCAGGGATGGGAATCCTTTGGTGGGCATGGTTTAGCCGGGTGTTCTTTTTTTCGGAGCCCCAAAAAACGGGTTGGTGTCCTTTTGCTTTCCCTCTGAAAATTGGGCTATTCAACATCGTAGGCGTTAACCTCTGCTGTGTAGAACTCCTCATAGATGGCACAATTTGTCCAACCCTACCTGCCCCCTCAGACTCGATGAAAGATGAATGCAGCGGCCAGACATGAGAAGCCTTGAAAGATGCATGGGAGCTGTGCCAAAGGTCTCAGGCCCTCTTGCCATGGGGCGATCAGGTACTTAGCAAGTGGTTAGTAACCATGGACTTATAACCATGGAAAGTGGGTTATAACCATGGTCATTTCCCACTCACGAAGTAGCCCCTTTCAGTGACCGAAGGAAACCCCCAATTTACCCTCGCTTCGTCTTGGTGCCGGGCGGATTCCAGCAGCTCGGAGACCTGCTAGTCGCATCTTTCCCAAACCTCGCACCTCTCAAAGGAAGTTTAAGTGGCAAGAAACTTCCGCGCTGGAAGTCTCATTTGAAGTTAGATCTCTCTGAGAAATGGGTGCGTCACGCGTAAGAATGTGGCGCCAGCTGCGAAAGCCCTTGAAGGCGAGCGAACTGGGGAGGAATTCGGCGAAACCAAGCCACTTCGGTCGCGATGCCTACCGGAGGCGGTTCTCGGAACGGGTTCGGAGACAGGACCCATGGCACTTCCGCGCTTCCGAGCTTCGCAGCCTTCAATCAATGAACCCTCTGCGCACTTGGGGGGGGATCCTCAAAAACGTGTGGTTTGATTCACGATGTTCGCGCAATCCTCTGCCTGTTTTTTTTTTTTTTCTTCTCTTCTTTTTTTCTGGGGTCGAGCTGACTTGCGGGGGCTCGACCTCAGCTTGCGCAGCCGTCAATTGGTGAACCCTCTACAGACTTTCGGTGGCGGACTTTCGCAGGGTCAACCTCGAAAAACTTGGTGTTTTGTTTGGTTTTCGCGCTTCTCATGTTCATGAAAGAGAAGGAGAAAGAGAAAGAAGAAGTTAAACAGGAACAGAAACGAAAGAGAAAGGAAGAAAGGGAAAGGGAAGACAGGGAAAGGGAACGGGAAGAAAGAGCAAGAGAGAGACAGAGAGAGAGAGGGAGAGAGAGCGCAAGGGAGAAAGGAAGAAAGAGAGAGAGAACGAAAGAAAGAAAGAAAGAAAGAAAGAAAGAAAAGGGGAAAGAAAGAAAAGGGGAAAAAGCCTGCTCCTTACTATAGCTCCAGTATAAGGTTACGTGTGCCCCTGGCTTCGCCGGCTTTGGGAAGGGCCGGAAAAATCCTGCACCGATCGGTAGGTTTATCCGGGTATTCATTGCATCCATCCCAACTGGTGCAGGATTTTATCCATCAGCAATGTGGGAGTGCTAGAAGATCAATCTCCTCTTGAAGGGACCCCCTGTTAATGCCAAATTTTAGTGGAAGGGAGGGAAATCGCGCCAAGCTGAAGGTTTTCGGACCTCCCACGCTAGTACGGGTGATCGGGCCCAGAGTTGGGGCGGCTTTCCGCTGTCAGCGATTTAGCAAAGGGATCAGGAGAAAACTCTGACGATTCACCTAGGCAGAGATTCAAGAACAAACCAAGTGCTTAGCACCTCACGAACCATAATGCTCTAATCAGAAGTCCTGAGGAAAGCTAGAGGTTCCTTAAGCGTATCTGCGCAACTGCTAGGGTTCCTGGTTGACCAAACATGGAGGGAGCTACGTTTGGAAGGAGCCTTCAGTCTTACTTGGAGTTTACGACCACTCCTACCCCGTGTTTACTTCTCATTTAAGCTTACCTTAAAAGGTAGGTTCAAGGGGTCTGGTGACACTCAGGGCACAATCAATGACGAGCCCGGCTCTCAGTGACAAATTTCCGACGTCAACCCAGAGCATCACCAGGAATCCAAAGACAATGCGTTGAAAGCCGGAATATGAAATCTGGCGCTTGAAACTTGAACCAAACAAGAAGCGCAGCCAAGGATGTTCTTGAAGTTTGTAGGTCGTGGTCTTCTTGTGGGCTGCATCTGCCGTGAAGAACACCCAACGTGGGCAGTACCAGTGGCAAGTTGGTCAGCATTGCGAAACGTGAAAGAAAAATGCAATGGGGGTTCAACATGTCACCGTGATTGGGAACCAACTTTTTGTGGGTTTCTCCACGATTTGGCAGGGGTTCAACATTTGAAAACCTTGAAGACTCGCTCCAAAAAATCCCTCTATGAGTATGGATCTAAAAAGGAAGTATTCCTCAGTTGCGTCTCCTTCATAGCAGAAGTGCGCAGCAGGGAAAATCCAAATTCCCTCTATTGCCTTACTGCAGCCTGCTAGACCAAAGCCATAAATGGCAACAACAGGCGCTGAACACGTCTCAAGGAAGATTTGAGAATATGTGAGCTAACTCGCTCTTGGCTGTTAGACAAAAAAAACACTTGAAGAAACCACTATTCGGAGGGCCTCCAAGTTCATTTCGACACCATCGCCAGCGTTTTGTGTTGTTTCATTCTTTTGGGGGGGAGGGTACCTGTTGTTGGGATGTCTAGAAAAGGACACCGAAGGGAAACGGAGTTTGACGGTTCCCCGGAGCACAACTTCCAGCGGCCTCGGACCGCATCGTCCGCGTGAGGTCCGTGATGGGATTGGTCCAGCAGGGCGACCGGTGGCCTCAGGCGAAGGCGAAGATGACCACAACCCTCACACCGCCACCCCCCACACCCCCACCTAAAAACAAAGAAACAAAGAAACAAAGAAACAAAGAAGCAAATCAAACAAAGAAACAAAGAAACGAAGAAGCAAAGAAACAAAGAAAGCGAACAGACCAAAAACAAACTGCTGGGTCATGATATGGGTTCGGATTGTGTGAAGGCTAACAAGCAAGCCGCTCCAACACTTCACTCAAACATATCCTGCTTGGTGACCTGCCGCTTTGTGCCAACCAAAGAAGCAGAAAGGGCGTCATGACTTTGACAACCCACCTGGGTGTGGCTCAAAATCTAAGACTCGGAAAAAAAAGAAGGTTCTTTTGGGCTCCATTGTTGGCGGATGCCCACTTTTTGAGCCACAACCACCTAGACCACCAGACCGCCAAGCTGTTGTTCAGCCGTAAGGCCAGCCTCCCCAGTCAGATCCGACTGTCCAAAGTGGCCGAAAGGATTCTTCTTTTGGACCGAGGCAAAACTGGCTGGTGCGAGAGATAGATGACCTTCCCTTCAAAACCATGGCTTTTCTCTGGGTCATTCCAGCTCATTCCCTGCCGGTCAAACCAGCAAGCTCTGCTTCATTCCCCTTGTTCTGAGGCCTTTTAGTGTGGACCAAGGCAAAAAACAGAGGTAGGCGATGCCTTATGTCCACTCCATCACACCTGGGCTATGGGGCACAAGAGCTCGGAGATCTGGGTCTGAATTTCCACCGGCATGCGCTGCCTGAGGTTTGCCGGAACTGGAGCGGTGGGGAACACCCCCACCGAGAGGCGAGGCCCGTTGAAGGACAGGAAGAGGTCGTTTTGCGGCTGGAAGGTCTGCACTTGGATCATCTCTGCAAATTCCCTTCTAAGCACTTTGGGAGGAAGGGGGGGCCTGACGGATAGCCGTTGAATACCAAAAGAATCCGCTCGCTCATTTGCCCGGGCCCTTTTTGGATGTCTCTGACTTCTTTGGGATCAGGGACCATGTGAGTTGAGCCGGTTGCTAGTACATTGGGGCTTGACAACCAGAGAATACGAGCAGACAACTCTGCGAATTCGCATGAAACTCTCAACCAGAAGAACCTGCTTTCGGGGCTCCATCTTGACTTGTAGGGAAGCAATGAGCCCAGGAAAAAACGATCCAACGATATGATCTTAGGGCACCGCAGGCTGCCCCGAGCCTTCGCGTCCGCCTGCGAAGGCGCGGAAAGCTTTGGGCCGTCCACTTGGGGAACCCAAAGCCGCCTGGGCCAAGATGAAGAAGCTGTAGTGCCGCCTCAGATCTCTCTCCGCCCCTACTGGGCCATGGTGTTTGTCTTCTTTTGGCCGGCACAAATTGGACGGAAAGAAGAAACCTTAGGCTGCCCTCAAATCCCCCGCTAAAGGTGTAACTTTTAGTGGGTTGAATGAAAACCACCACTAAACACGGAAAGGCTAACACGCTGAGGGAATGGCTGGCTTCGCCACCAAGAAACCTTAGGCTGCGGCAGTACTGTGAGGCTCTCCTCAGACAGCTGCCTTGGGCGCATGTCCGCCTCGGCGCGAACGCAGCTTCGGATCGATCGCCCCAACGGCTCCCGCCGGGGTCCGTGCAGTCCAGCTGAGGAGGTGTCTCAGCTGCATGTCCGGAGGCACCTCACATGCAAGTGCTCACCAGTAACATGGAAGTGCTCAGACCCCTTTGAATGACTCCTGAAGGGGCCCCTGCGCACTTCCATATGTGTTGAAAGGCGAACGCCCGCTTTTTGCCTCACTTGAGTGGATTGGCCAACAGGAGGCTGAACATAGGTGTCCTTTTAGAGGAAATAATTGGGTTTCCCTGGTAGATGATGAAACCACCAGGTAAACCAGGAATTGCCATGCAATTGCTTCTACCAAAACAAACAAAAAGGACACCTATGCTCACATGCACTCTCCGGTGGCACCTCCGGAAACGCACCGAGATTCTTCACCGAGATTCTTCACCGAGAGTCACTCGAAAAGCTGAGCCATGGCACTGTTCCCGAGAGCAGGAGGCTCTGGATGATGGCGACCTTCGTGTCAACGTCGACACGTCCAGAAAAGACAAGCGTGTTAAGGAGGTGTTCGAACATAAATGTCAAAACAGGTGTACCCAAAAATGGCACGCTTCATTTTGGCCCTCCTTTAGGAGAACCCACACACACACACACATCCTACCACCAACGCTCTCACCCCGCGACAGTGAGGCCCGGCGGTGTCCTCAAGCGGCAAGGCCCGATAAGGCGAGGTCTCTGCCAGGATCCTGCGGCAAACGACAAGCACATGGGTTGAAAAGGTCCTTTGCGTGGCTGTGGGTCAAAAATAGGGTAACCCCAGAATGGAACCCTGGCAACTGGAAACATGGACTAAGACCTGCGGTCCCCTGGAGGGTTGATTTTGACCCATACCCACATGGGATGACCATTGGGGAAACCACCCAAACAAGGTGCGACTTTCACCCCCTGGGACAAGTTCATGCTCATTTGGGGGCCCTAAATGGAATATTGATCAACCGCCCCGGGCGAACCGGGGCTTTCTGTATGCGATATAGAAACGACTTTGCGCATCTTTGTTGCAGGATGGCTTTTCATGGAGAATCAAGGTGGTTGCGGCGAGATATGGCCAAACACAAGCAACAACGAGGGCTGCGAAAGCTCTTTGAGGGGGCCCTGGCAAGCGGATGTTCTCAGCTGTTCATGCAAGCTTGCATCTCTGCGCACGCCTCGCCTGCTGATCATCTCCCTCACATCCAGGCCAGCCTGCGCCCGGCAAGTCTGCTCCGGGCTCGAGTTCATGTCACGAGCCCCGGAATCACTAGGTGAGAGGCAAGCACCTCAGACAAGCTGCAGAACCTGCAAAGAACGCACAAAAATTGCACATTGGATCACAAAACAGGGGAATGGAAACCACTGCCCCGCGCTTCTCCAAATTTTGGAACAGGCCTGGTCCGTGAGATCCAGGCGTGTGGCAGCGTAGAGGAAGCGCACCATGCCCATAGTGGGCAGGCGTGCCAGCTCCTCCGCGAAAAAGATTGGACGCCCACATGGCCATGGGCCTTTTTGGTGGTTTTAAAGGAAGCAACGAGGAAAATCACCATGTTGGGGATTCTGCTCAAAAAAAGACACACCCGGATGTCCCAAAAAGCCCAAAATATGGCCATGGGTCAAAATCCAGGTCGTACCCCCAGTGAACATCCCAATCCAACCACTAAAATAGGTTCTAAAATGGGTGGTCACCTACCCCAAAATGGGATCCCATTGGTTTTGACCCACAGCCACACTTGGCCGTGTTCCGGCAAACGCCTGGAGTGTATAAAGTTGACTGACACGCCTGGCCCAGGCCAAAAATTCGGCTTGACACCAAGCCGCCAAGCAGAAGTCCCCCGGTCTCAAAATTCCGCGCCTGCTGCCGCCGCAAGCGGCCGTAAATCTGTGAGAGCTCTGGGATGCGCAAGCGCACCGCCTGGGTCGCGTGCAGCTCACGCTGGCTGGCTGGGAGAGGGGGGAGGTTGTACCCTCCTGCATGGAACCCAATTAGGCAATTAGGGTATCCTGATATTGCCCTGCACAAGGAATCTCTCCATGGGCTTACATCCAGCTTGGCGGAAAATCATGTCCTCGCCAAGCACGGCCCAGTTGGCCACTCCTCATCCCAAGTAAGCCATTGGGGGGGTGATCAATATTCCTGCCCCCAAGCTGACCATGGGCAACTTGTCCCATTTCGTGGTGAAAGTCGTATCTTTTTTGGTGGTTTCCCTGATGGTCATCCCATGTTTTTGCCGGACCTTTTCCCATGTACATCCATCCCATGTACCGACGGTATGATCAGTCCCCATTCAGCTTATCTGGTCTCCCCATTCAGCTTGGCCCCAGACTGCGAAGGACTCCATAACAGCGATGGCCTGCAGGAATCGGCATCGAGAGCTCGAAAGCAAGCCTGAAACCGCTTGCCTATGGCCCGAGATGCCTAAATATGGGTGTGGATGGTGTGGCTCAAAATTGAACAGGAGGGGTTTCGCAGGTTTTGGTCCATGTTTCCACTTACCAGGGTTCCATGTTGGTACCTGTTTTTTGAGCCACAGCCATATGTCCATAAATGGGGGGGGAGGGGACAGGGTTCGGCAGTTGGGCCTTATTTAAGCATTGCCTCCACCACCCTTCGGCCTCTCAGGAGACCAGGGGATGGTGGTTAAAGCCAAGTTTGCCCAACCCCAATCGACAAGCATGATACCCTTCCTCCCACTAACACGAGCATCTGGAAGACTAGTTTCTTCTTGAAGGGAACCCCTGTCAGGTGCCATGTTAGTGGGAGGGTAGTCGAAACGAAAACGAGATCGCCTCTCTCTCGGGATGCCCGAGCATTGGAAGCCACTGGGTTTTTTTCCCTACAAAGGAACTGATCGGTTGACATGCAAGCCCAAATGTGCGAATCTGCTTCCTAAAGCCCTAAACAATTCAATAGGTCCAAACTTTTTATTGCCACCAAAATTGTCTTCCCAAAAACGGGGGAGAAAAAAAAAAAAAAAACATCCATACACTCGGGACGTGAGAGGATGAATCGGATACCTTCGATCGCCTGCTGCCAGCTCAACTGCTTCCTCTGCAGCAGCTCGACCAGCACCGACTCGAACAGGAGGTGGTAGGGCCTAGGATTCTTTGCTTTGGTGTAGGGGTTTAGGGGTTTAGGGGTTTAGGGGTTTAGGGGTTTAGGGGTTTAGGGGTTTAGGGGTTTAGGGGTTGAGGGGTTGAGGGGATTAGGGGATTAGGGGTTTCGGGGCTTAGGATGGTTTAGGATGGTTTAGGATGGTTCAGGGGGTTAGGATGGTTTAGGAGGGTTTAGGATGGTTTAGGACGGTTTAGGATGGTTTAGGATGGTTTAGGGGTTTAGGGGCTTAGGATGGTTTAGGGGTTTAGGATGGTGGTTTAGGGGTTTAGGGGTTTAGGGGTTTAGGGGTTGAGGGGATTCGAGGTTTCGGGGTTTAGGATGGTTTAGGATGGTTTAGGATGGTTTAGGATGGTTTAGGATGGTTTAGGATGGTTTGAGATGCTTTAGGATGGTTTAGGATGGCTTAGGATGGTTTAGGATGGCTTGGGATGGTTTAAATTGGTTTAGGATGGTTTAGGATGGTTTAGGATGGCTTAGGATGGTTCAGGATGGTTTCAACATTTTAGGATGGTTTAGGATGGTTTAGGATGGTTTAGGATGGTTTGAGATGGTTTAGGATGGCTTAGGATGGCTTAGGATGGTTTAGGATGGCTTGGGATGGTTTATAATGGTTTAGGATGGTTTAGGATGGTTTAGGATGGCTTAGGATGGTTCAGGATGGTTTAGGATGGTTTAGGGGTTTAGGGGTTGAGGGGTTGCGGGGTTTAGGATGGTTTAGGATGGTTTAGGATGGTTTACGATGGTTTAGGGGTTTAGGATGGTTTAGGATGGTTTAGGATGGTTTAGGATGGTTTAGGATGGTTTAGGATGGTTTAGGATGGTTTTGGGGATGGTTTGGGATGGTTTAGGATGGTTTAGGATGGTTTTGGGATGGTTTAGGATGGTTTAGGATGGTTTAGGATGGTTTTGGTTTAGGATGGTTTGGGATAGTTTTGGATGGTTTGGGATGGTTTGGGATGGTTTGGGATGGTTTAGGATGGTTTAGGATGGTTTAGGATGGTTTAGGATGGTTTAGGATGGTTTAGGATGGTTTAGGATGGTTTAGGATGGTTTAGGATGGTTTAGGATGGTTTAGGATGGTTTAGGATGGTTTAGGATGGTTTAGCATGGTTCAGGATGGTTTAGGATGGTTTGGGGGTTTAGGATGGTTTAGGATGGTTTGGGATGGTTTTGTATGGTTTGGGATGGTTTTGGATGGTTTCGGATGGTTTGGGATGGTTTGGGATGGTTTAGGATGGTTTAGGATGGTTTAGGATGGTTTAGGATGGTTTAGGATGGTTTAGGATGGTTTAGGATGGTTTTGTATGGTTTGGGATGGTTTTGGATGGTTTGGGATGGTTTGGGATGGTTTGGGATGGTTTAGGATGGTTTAGGATGGTTTAGGATGGTTTAGGATGGTTCAGGATGGTTTAGGATGGTTTAGGATGGTTTAGGATGGGGTAGGGGTTTAGGGTTTAGGGGCTTAGGGCTGCCTAGACTCATTTGCTGAGTGGATGGCCCAAAAAAACAAACAAACTTTATATTTACCACTAAAATGGTCTTCCCAAATTTAATGTTCATCGACTCAGGAAGTGAGTAGAGAATCAGAAGGTTTGGATGTGGCGAATCTAAGGATCCACCCCTCTCTCAGAAGGTATCTGTGGAAAGGTGCGTCAGAGTTCAAACGCCGCAAACCTCGGCAGCATGATCCTAATTCGTCTGGCACATCCTAAGAAAATGGTTTGGATGTGGCGAATCTGTAGATCCACCCCTGTAGGATAGAAAAAAGAGTACTAACAGAGTACTAAACAAGATTACCTACAGGAGGAGGAACAGGTGCAATCCACAAGACAAGCGCACCCAAACCGTTTTCTAGAATCTGTGGAAAGGTACGTGGAAAACTTTGTTTTCCTTTCAAAGGAGCCCCGCTGTCAGGCGCCATGTACGTGGGGGGGGTGAAAAAACAACTGCAGCCTGCTTGTGAAAACCCGAAAACACCTGCTGTGTAATCCCGCTATCAGCCTTGGCGTGGTGTCAATGGCAAAAAGAAGGTTTGGAATATGCCCTGCTTGTCCGCTTGTTCAAAACACCTGGAGGGTCAAACCAGTAGCTGTGCGCCCCCAAAGGCACATGACGTGAAGCAGAGTGGTGAGGAAATGGACAGACGCCACTCAAAGGGATTTACTTGGTTTTAATCCAAGGGGACATGTGCAGCAAACCTCTTCTACTCGCATGTGTTCAAGCCAGCAAGCAAACGACAACAAGCCACCGCGTGGCAGCTTCTCAAAACTGAAAAATCCAATCCAAATGGAGGGCGTTCCTTTTGGCGTCCCTCCAAAACCATCCAGACAGAAGCCAAGAAGCCGAAAGCGAAAATAAAAATACCCCTCCCTCCCAATTATGAAACAGACCCACTTCCCACGCCAGCTGCTTTCGAGCTCAGGCTCGGACAAGCCCAAGCTGGCAAACCTTGGCGCGGCGTGGGCCTTTGCAGGGGCACGGTGTCTTATTTGAGGTCCCCAAAACGGATCGTCTGTTCAACAACCTGATTTCAGAAACGGGGCAACCTGGTATCCATACAAGAAATACACCAATCATTGCTCAACTAGGGAAAAGCAGGCATTGGACGACCCGTGCCGCCCCCCAAGCCATGTCAAGCGGGTGACCACGTCGAAGCAAAGCAAAACCGCCAGCCTGCCTGACCAACACGCATTCCATGATATAAAAAAAGGGCGAGACAGTCAAACAGGACAGGACTCCAAAAGTTCGTTCTCTGGAGTCTGGAGGAGAATGGCTTCCCAGCACCGAACTTAGGCCTTGACGAGTCCAGGGCTGACAGCAGCTGCAGCACCGAGAGGTCTTTCGCATAGAGCGCCACCTACCGGATTGTGGAACTGGTCCTGATCAAATCCCCAAGAGGGTGCCTTTTTTGCGGACGTGTGGGGGGCGGGGGCCACCCCACTTTTTGGGGGAGAATGACGCTTGGCCAGCGTTTTTGGATGTTTTGTAGGATTGCAGCATGGGTTGATGTCAGGAAGACATCGAGCAGAGTGAAGAGTGAAAGTGTGTGTGCGCGTGCGCGCACATATGTACCTGTGCTTCTCTACACATAGAGTGACAAGCATGCGTGCGCACGGGCAAACATATATCATGTCCAGCCCAGGCAGAACATTAACACAAGAAACTGCCTGTTACACTTGACAGCAATGCATCCAACATTGGGATGTCTCTCACAACCGACGGAAGATTAAGAGAAATATAATGAATAAACAAACGCAAAACCAACACTTGATCCCAAGTTGCGGTTGTCGAACTTCGAAACGGGTTGAGTTATCCATTGACATGAAAACGCAAATGGAAACTGCAACGACTTTCTCCAGTGGCCATGGGTCAAAAGCCCGTACCTTCAGTGAACATCCCAATCCCCACTAAAATAGACTAAAATGGGTGGTGCACCTACCCCAAAATGGGATCCCATTGGTTTTGAACCACTGCCATCCGGTGAAGTCAGAAGGCAACTCGGAAGCAACGCTTTGATGTCGCCGTGGAGCCCCGGGGCCAATCTACAAACCTGCGGGAAACCCCCAAGTAACCGCTGGAATAGGTGCCATGAAGTGTTGGACATGAGCTTCCCTTAATTGGGTGGCGAAGGAATTCTAGAGTACTGTGGACGGACGAAATGCTGCACCGCCTGAGAAACCCTGGAATGATGATTCCCCCGGTAAAAACCAGCAAACAATGGTTTCAACCATGGTTTCAAAGTGGTGCGAAGGGGTTTTGTCCATCCACAGTATGCAACACCAAGTGATCATTTGGCTGTGGGTCAAAACTACTACCCAAAATGGTTTGCCCTGGTAAATACAACCAAGGACTAAAACCTGCGGTCCAATTCCTGGTGGTTTAACTTGGCGCTTCAGTGCGTAAGCCGAAAGCTTGGGGGATGTCCATCGGCCTGGTCTCCGATCCGCTCCACTACTTCCAGCCTCGTGAAGTCGTCTGAATGCGCGCACAATGTCACTGATCTGGAGGTTTCTCAAAACAGGGAACCCGTTTTGGATGGTTTTAAAGGAAAAGCAAACGGAAACAACCTGCTTGGAGGGGGCTTGGCAGGCAAGTAGCCTCCGAACTACTGAAAGGGAATAAGAAACGGCTGGGAATGCTGTGCCGCTGGTTTTGGGTGGCACCTGAAAATTTGCTGGCTCACCTTGAGAAGCAGTTGGGTGACTACTGCCAAGCTCAGTCGGGTAGACCAGGCCATTGAAACTCAATGCGTGCGTGAAACGCGTGGTGTCCGTGGACATCGTACTCCCAAAAAATAATAAAAGAAATGCTTTGCTTCTGGCAAAACATCTATATACCCCTTTCAGCCAAAGGCTTATACGGCTGCAGCGATGATCAAGCCACCCTTTCCTTTTGCCTGTTCCTGCTCAAGTCCGTCTGGTCCCACCGAGAAATTTTGATGGGCTTTCGGAGTTCCCTCACCTAGTCCTACTCCTACCACTACCACTACCACTACTACCACTACTACCACTACTACCACTACTACCACTACTACTACTACTACTACTACTACTACTACTACTACTACTACTACTACTACTACTACTACCCGCAGCACGCGTGGTTCGCTCAGAACCGCTTTGTTGCACTTTCTGGTCTCTTTCCAGCCTGCTTAACTTGCCCCATTTACGGTTCAGGTTTAGGGCTTAACTTGCCGCAAACCCGGTTTCGGGTTTAGTGTTGGGCCTCAAACCCTCACTTTAGGGTTCAGATTTTGGGTTTCACTTGCCCTCATTTTGGGTTCAGGTTTAAGGTTTTCCTTGGCCTCAAACCCCCGTTTCGGGTTCAACTTTGGGTTTAACTTGCCCGCAAACCCTCACTTTAGGGTTCAGGTTTTGGGTTTCACTTGCCCTCATTTGGGGTCAGGTTTCAAGTTTAACTTGCCCTCAAACCCCCCACTTACCCTCAAAGTTTAGTTTGGGGGTTTTACTTGCCCTCAAACCCCACTTATAGCTCAGGTTTAGGGATTTTAGGGTTCAGGTTTTGGGCTTTAACTTGCCCTCAAACCCTCACGTTAGGGTGTGGAGAGCTTCACTTGTCACCTTCTAACTTCTGGCTGAGCCTAGGGTACTCCCAAAAATTCCACATAGTGACCCATCGAAAAGCCTGCGCGCGTCGGCGAAGGCTTGCCGATGTTCTAAGGGCAGACCGTTCGATATCAGGCGCGGGTGCTAAACGCTGCCAGCCGCAAAGGAATCTGAGAGTGTGAGGCGGCCTGGAGGAGAGTCTACGGGCAAACCACAAGTACTACCACCACCACTACTACTACGACTACTACTACTGCTGCTGCTGCTACTACTACTACTTCTACTACTACTACTACTACTACTACTGCTACTACTACTTCTACTACTACTACTACTACTAGTACTAGTACTACTACTACTACTACTACTACTACTACTACTACTACTTCTACTGCTACTTCTACTACTTCTACTACTACTACTACTGAGGAAGCTTAAGGACAGATTGCAAATCGTCCCCTCGCCTCTACCCTTTCCCTCCATGACCGCTGGACCTTCACACTGGCTTGCATTTGCTTCACTTCAAAGATTGTCCCGGCAAAGGTCCCACTCGTCTTGACACAGCCGAGCGGCTGCGTCTCGAGAATGCGTACCCAAAATGGAACCAAGGACTAAAACCTGCGGCCCCCGGTGGTGACACATCTTGACCCATACCCAAGCGACCTCAGCGAAAAGACGCACGCGCAAGCCACCAGCCAGCAGCCCACAACCTGAGCTGCCTGCAGAAGCGGCTCACGCGCCAGGCGCTTACGCCCGCTCCGCAGCACCTGGGATCCATCGCAACGAGTGGCACAACAACAAACAACAAACAAACAAACAAACAAACAAACAAACAAACAAACAACCAACCAACCAACCAACCAACCAACCAACCAACCAACCAACCAACCAACCAACCAACCAACCAACCACGACCACGACCACGACCACAACCACAACCACAACCACAACCACAAGCTCAACCACAACAACCACAACCATAACCACAACCACAACCACTCCGACAGCCGCAACCACGACAACAACGACAACGACAACGACGACAACGACAACGACAACGACGACAACAACGACAACGACAACGACAACGACAACGACCACAACCACGACAACCACGACAACAACGACAACGACGACGACGACGACCACGACCACGACCACGACCACGACCACGACCACGACCACGACCACGACCACGACCACGACCACGACCACGACCACAACCACGACCACGACCACGACCACGACCACGACCACGACCCACGACAACGACAACGACAACGACAACGACAACGACAACGACAACAACAACAACAACAACAACAACAACAACAACAACAACAACAACAACAAGCAAAGCAAGCAAGCAAGCAAGCAAGCAAGCAAGCAAGCAAGCAAGCAAGCAAGCAAGCAAGCAAGCAAGCAAGCAAGCAAGCAAGCAAGCAAGCAAGCAAGCAAGCAAGCAAGCAAGCAAGCAAACAAAGAAACAAGGAAGCAAACATATAAACAAATAAACAAACAAACAAAGAAACAAAGAAGCAAAGAAACAAAGAAACAAAGAAACAAAGAAACAAACAAACAAACAAAAAACAACAAACAAACAAACAAACAAACAAACAAACAAACAAACAAACAAACACCGTCGTCATCGTCGTGGGCGGTGGTTGTTGGTTGTTGATTGTTGGTTGGTGTTGGTTGTTGGATGTGGTTGTTGGCTGTTTGTTTGTTTGATTGTGTGTTTGTTTGTTTGTTTGTTCGTTCGTTTGTTTATTTGTTCGTGTTTTGCTTTTGCTGTTGCTGCTGTCGCCACAATGACAACCACAACGTCGAAGCAGAGGTCGGATCCAAGCTTCTTGAAACCTGGATCTGCGGAAGATTAGCATGGCTGATCAAGTATGACAGGCATGAGCCTATAAATGTGAACCTCGAATCCGTATGAAATGCCCAAGAAGACAATCCGCAACATTGTGGGCAAAAAAACGACCTAGGGCTTCCATGAAACAGTTTCCGTTGGCCACAAACTTGCGGGGCCTTGCGGTCCAATGTGACAGGATGGTTGGCCAAAAAAGCAGAAGTCAGAAGACTTGCTTACCGAGTTGGAAGCTTGGCCACCCCAAAACCGGGCGGCATAGCAAGGAAACACTTTGGTTGCATTCCTGCTTCGAGAAAGGCACATAGTTCAGCGCCGGCAGCAACTCGTTGGGGTCCAAGCTTTCCTCGGTTCACGGGAGGAGCTCCAAAACCAGCCTGCGAGGGAGGGCGAAGATGCTTTTGGTGTGTTTAGTTTCCCTTCTCAAACCACAACTAGTTTGCTTCTCGGGTGTCTGTGTTTTTTGCCTGGTGTGGAACTCCGCAAAGACCTTTGGCAAAGACTGCTTGCCGCAGCTCCGAACACCCCGCGTAAAGCCGTTGTCAACTGACATCCGTTTATGTGGCCATGGGTCAAAATCCAAATCGTACCCCCAGTGAACATCCCAATCCCCACTAAAACAGACTAAACTGGCTTTTGCAGCTACCCCAGATCCCATCGGTTTGTGACAACCACAGCCATGTGGCTCTTGAATTGCCCAAACTTGGGGTCTGGGAACTCCTTTGCCAGGGACTGGCGGCGAAGACGTCCAGCCCTCCAACTCCCACGGACCGGCGGATCGTTGGAAGACGAGGAACCCTGCTGGACACTCCTCAGTTGCTAACTTCTAACTCCGCCCCCCCTGCTAAAAGTTTGACTGTTTGTGGCTTGAAACGGAAAACCCATGAGTTGGCAAAAAGTTAGTGTCCTAACATCCAAGCAAAATGCACCAAAGGCTCCATGAGGGAAAGGGGGTCCTGGGAAGGTTCCAAAGTCCCCTCCCAAGTTATTTCTTGGGCCCCGACTAGCACAGCCAGGAATCGGTCTGCGACCACGGACAACTGGCAGACGAGTCGAGTTGCAACATTTCCTCACTTGTCCGAAGCACATGTGGGTGCGTCTTTTTGGTGCGGGATCCCCCAAAATGGTTTTGTTCCTTTTGGTGTTCTTTTGAAAAGAGGGCTCCCTT